GACCTCGGGTTGCATAGCAACAATCCACTCACATATTACCACCTGGTCTACACACCAGGGCCTGTCCAGACTGTCATGCAGGCAAAAAGAACACTTCATCTTGGGGAACCATCCTAGATCATCCTAGGGAAATGAGTGTTTTATTAGTTGATATAACAGTTAATAGTTTTTACTGCTACCATAATTTTGTAACGTCAACGACGGTTTGGGGAGGGAGCGCCGTCCAAATTACTAGTAAGTCACGTTAGCCCATAACGTTATTTATGTAAGCCGCCGGAAACAAATGTATGCCCACTCAACACAACAGCCAAGCATTGCTGCTGAAAATACCAAGTTGATGAAGATGTCAAATAAACTTGTAACGTTACGTTGAACTAATTCACGTTAGGCTTCTGGGTGAAAAACATTTAGGAAACAGCTGAGGGATGTCGGATCTGCCGTCATTCTATTGGAGGCATTATAAAATGTTCTGTAGTACTGTTGCAACATTATCATCTTACCTGGAGGATAATAGCGTAGCAGGAATCTTTTAAGACGCATTATTTGACGAGGAGTCAACGCTCAAATCTGAAGAAGAAAAATGAGCTCGAGAAACTTTCAAAATGGCGCCCGCTACATCCGGGATATTTTTGACTGATAAGCCACCTGTTAGTGAACCCCATGTAACATGTTTAATGATAAATCAAATCGAATCAACTTTATTGCTCAACAACTGTGACTGGTACAATGTATGGCAATTAAAAACAACAAGGGTAGATACATGAACTGTACTAAAGTACAATTCTAACAGGAATGGAATATCCCAACCTACACATGCCAGCCAACCAACCCCCTGTAACAGGATTGGAATATTCCAACCCGCCCAAGTTAGCTAAACCCCAGCCAACCCCCAGTGACAAGAGTGGAATATCCTAACCCACACCTGTTAGCCAATCCCCAGTAACAGGAGTGGAATATCCCGAGCTGTTCGGGAGCACGCCTTTTGGCGTTAAATTTGAGTAAATCTTGACTGTCAACCAGGTCCCAAACTACTCCCGAACACCAACCAGCCATACCATGGCAGAACCTGCTGTCTTCACGCGAATGTCCACACGGAAATTAATATTCGCTTGGCGCAGACTGGTGCGTGCGTGTGTGATCGTGTGTGTGTGTGTGTGTGTGTGTGTGTGTGTGTGTGTGCGTGCGTGTGTGCGTCTGTGTGTGTGTGTGTGTGTGTGTGTGTGTGTGTGCGTGTGTGTTTCCGCACATTTGTAGTCAGCATTGCCGCCATAATTTTAGAACGCGTTTATGGACTGTGATGATATTTGGTAACGTTTATCCGCACTTTCCTCACTTCACTCAGGTGAAAATGAGTACCTAGCTTCGGTTAGGGACGTCCCTCGGATAGGACGTTAAATAGAGGCCCTGTGTTTGGGCCCACGCACGTTAAAGAATCCACCACATTTATCGAAAAGAGTAGGGGACCTTCCCGGTGTGAGTGGTTCAAAACCTTACAGTCTGGTCTCGGGTTTGACATCTTGAAGAGGTGGACGTTATGTCTGTTATGTCAATCCTTCCACAAATGTGGTAAATCTTCATAAACTAGAGTTCCACGATCTCATACCTTCGCCAAATGATGTTAGCTTTTATGAATAAGAACTTATATACAATGTATTAATCCCCCTGATTATGCAAATAGGATCCGCAATTGCATGAATTATATCTGTTGATCATATTCTCCACCAACAGACAGTCTTATTTTAACAAAGAATGCCATTATTAGCCTGGGTACCATCCCCAGTAGTATATTCGCAAACTCTATAACTGGGTCTGGACTTGAACACATATAAAACGATTGGTCATGACGTCACGTAATGAGCTAGCCCGAGCAGCGGGGCTTCATTTGATTGGCTGAGCCTCAGAGGCGACGGCCAATGGCGCGCCTGCATTATTCAAGTGATGTTTGTTGTTTTGTAAACACAGATCTTCGCGCGAGTGTTCCTTTTCTCGGTGTGTTTTATTTTGAAATTGTTCAATGCATCTTTTTGCTCATTTTTGAGCGACGATATTCCGTCTGAATCGTCCAAAACGGACGTGATTGCGAGGTCAACGTCAACCTCCAAGAGCTGAGCGGCTTGTGCGTCAGCCCTGTTGATGATCGATCGCGGAAAGACTGACTACGGCTATATCATGTGCGCTTTACCGTTCGGTTCGCCGTCGGACATGTTGATGAAAATAAGATAAGAACAAGGATCTATCTTAACGTAGCCGTTCGGACGTTCGAACGGACGCTAACGTGTCCGAACGGCCCTTACCTAATATGTACACACCCTAAAAAGGCTTAGACGAGTAGGACCAATCAGCGCGCTCGTTCAAAATCTGAACGAATATTTAGACTCCAGACGCTACATATGTGTTCAAGTCCAGACCCAGTTATAGAGTTTGCGAATATACTACTGGGGATGGTACCCAGGCTATGCCATTATAGCATTTCCTCATATATTATGCAAATGAGGTCCTTATTTGAATAAGTTATGTTAAATTATGTTCACCTTCACTTAACTTCAAACACCCCAAGTATAAAATTCCAGGCAGTTACCACTATGCAATTATAACATTTTCTCATTAATTATGCAAATTAAGTCTTTATTTGCATAATCGATATCTGCCTGTGTTTCTCTCGTTGTTAATAACATATGTTGCAAGCTTGAACTTCCTATCATGGAATGCAGCTGATTAATAGAATTTCTTCATTAATTATGCAAATTACATCCAAATTACACATTTGCATAATTGTAATATCATTATGTCAAGCATTACTCAAGCTACCTACATACCAAAAATCATGATGATCCATTAATCGGTTCTTGAGTTATCCTCCTTTAAACATTTGTCCTTTAAACCCCCTGCAGTTCTAGAGCAAGCAACTAGGGGGCTCAAACTCATGTCACTTCATCCCCAGCACAAGAGCTATCTGCCATCTAAATTTCGTCACCCTAGCATGTCTGGATCATGAGATATCAAAACCGGAAGTTCTGCTGCAGTACCATGACAAGCCGCCAGGTGGCCCAAAATCTTATCATTTCGAGCACCCACC